ATTTTCATGACAACGTTTGCCTCGTAATATTTTTACAATTTTTGTTTTTAACAATAGACACACTGGTATCCAACTAATACTTTAAGCCTTCCTTAAGGTGCCACTTATTTATGCTATTACTAATGTGGTTAGCTATTTATATATTCGTTACCAGATATATGCCAGTCGAAGATTCAGGGACTAGTTTGGATGAAAAGCAAACATGATAGTCAAGATTATTTATCTCTTGCATAAGAAGCAGCCATTTGTTAACTATCTATCCAGCATTCAGACTAGTGTGATCACTGAACAAATCCACAAGGGCAGTGACGAGGATTCGAACCTACGTCGACTGCGCCACGACATAAGAACAAAGGTAACTGTAGAAGGCCTATTGGCCTATACCAGCTCCTATTTATAACCACCCAATCCCACTCATATACATGTCCAACCCAGGTTTGAAACAATCGAGGGACCCCACCTCCACCACGTTACGCGATAATTGGTTCCATGGTTAAAATAATTGCAACCTGGATTTGTGTGTGTGTGATTATTCTTGATATAAACAATTGAGCCCAACACATTCTAACCCCAAGCCCTGGACGAACCTTGGTAAATAGAGCTGGCGTCATACCTTAAATGTATCATACCTAAAACAAAATGTACATTTGATAATACGAATATTACTAGAAGTCAAAGGGAATCATTATAATAGGCCTAACATACAGACTTTTTGATCATTCACAAAGAATTTGGTCATTAATATGAGATAATTTCGACAGTGCTTTTAAATAAGACACCAGATAATAGTATGAGACAATGGATATATATTGGATAAGCTTAGATTTAGGAAAGACCTGGGTAAATACTGGTTCGGTAACAGGGTTGTTGATTTTTAAGGCCAATTACCATGTAACATAATAGAAGTAGAATCACTTGATTGTTTAAAGAGTAGGTTATATATATATATATATATATATATATATATATATATATATATATATATATATAAAGAATGAGGTGATTTGATAAAATGCTATGCCCAAGATTACCATCCGAGTGCCGGCGGGGAAGTGGTTCAAACAGCTTCGTCTATCACTTCCTTTTGTCCGGTCGTGATGGTCAAGCGGATTAAGGCGTCCTGTAGATACCAGTTGCGTTGCTCCTGGCAGTATGGGTTCGAGTCACTTCTGGGGTGTGAGTTTTCAGTCACACCCCAGAAGTGTGAGAAGTTACCTTGTGGATTTGTTCATTTCATGCATCACGTTATTGTGATTTTTGTGTGAAATAATGTTGGATTTATAGATAGAACTAGTACATACAATACCTAAAGCCACTAATACGCAGAGCATTTCAGGCAATTTTAGTACTCTTATTGATTATGCTTCTCACATTTCTGGTTTTGGTCAAGATAGGCTAAACAAGTGGTAGTCTCCGTGGTGTAGTGGTAAGACACTCGCCTGGCGTTCCGCGAGCGCTATGTCATGGGTTCGTATCCTGGCCGGGGAGGATTTACTGGGCGCAATTCCTTAACTGTAGCCTCTGTTTAACGCAACAGTAAAATGTGTACTTGGATGAAAAAACGATTCTTCGCGGCAGGGGATCGTATTCCAGGGACCATAGGATTAAGGACTTGCCCGAAACGCTACGCGTACTAGTGGCTGTACAAGACTGTAACAACTCTTGTATATATCTCAAAAAAAAAAAAAAAAAAAAAAAAAAAAATAAGGTAAAAATGAATCCATGAGAATAATTTTACGATGGCCAAGAACTGTTATGCTTAAGATAATAAGGATGGACTTGACCTTACACAGTATTGGGGATTGAATTTATGAGATAAATGTAACTTCAGTGAATAGACTAATGAGAGGCGGGGGACCTAATGAATTAATCCACTCAAAAGGTGGGAAGGAATGGACAACGTATTTCAAACTGTAATAAGAGATAATATACAAGAACCTTATGGTCTAATGTTACAAAATATATATTACATTGACTGAGAAACAATTAACAAGCGACGTGTGTTCAAGTATGTTTATTGAGACAAGAAAACAATATATCTCAAAGGAATAGATGTTTAAGATTCAGCTACTTAGAACAAAACGTTCTAAGTAGCACGGGCTATGGCGAGCCCGTAAAAAAGGGGATAGAGTAGCTTAGGCTATTTCTACCGGGTCTATTAGTAAAACACCAAACCAGCCGATGCAACCTCTCCCCAAGGGAGACTGGGGTATTGTGGAAATTTCCACTCATGTTATTATCATCATCTAAGGAATGTATTATTCCATATCATATCTATCTATCGGCATCATTATCTATTCATCATATCTACTGTATATACATCAGCATCCTGTATGACCATTGGTTAAGTACACTGTTAGGCTTAATGCCTATACAATATGGTACAGTAGATGTGATCTCCAGAATCTAGAAGCTTCCAGGTAATCAAAAAATATTGCTGGAACCAATGTTATTACTTCCAATGATGTATTTTCAAAAACCTTAATAAAGGACAAAAGGTACTATCAACCACTGTTAATAATCTTTAAATCTCTTGTGATATAACTATATCATAATAATCAGTCTAAATAAAGAAAATAATAATTTTATAATCATTGCCGGCACCTCCTCTGAGGAGGGGACGCCGCCAGCAACACAGATTAGGCTACAAGTAGCGAATTAGGCTACTTTTGAGAGCCCCAAATTTTTCATTTTGCTACTTGCGGCATTTTGGGCTAATTTAAAAGCAATTAAGTTGGGCTAATTTAGGCTATTAATGTTAACAAAACTTAATGATGATTGTTGACCAGACCACACACTAGAAATTGAAGGGACGACGACGTTTCGGCACACGTCTCGACGACGACATAAATAATCATTAATGATGATTATTTATGCTTTTATAATGTAATGTGTACAAATCACAGTCGCGTCCAACACCCTGACTGACTAGGCCACTTACCGCAGGAGGCCTGGTCAGAGACCGGCCCTCTGGGAACGTTGATCCTAGAAATCTTCGAAAGAAAGAGTACTCTCCCCAGGGGCCATACATTTCCCAACCTTAATTGTCATTAATACTTCATCCCAAAAGCTATAGCTGGTTCCACAGATCTTAATTAAGGAGAGAACGTTTTTCTGAGGTTGGAAGAAAACGCGCTCGTTTTGTAAGTGAAGCAGCTGCATGCGTGGGTGGCGGGAAAAGGGACCCCACCAGACCGCGGGCAAAGCTTATATAAACATATGTTGCGCGCGCAGGGTTTTTTCGCATCACAAGGCGCAGTGTGGTCACAATGCGACCCAAACGTCTTAAGGTCAGAGCTACTCCACTTGACGGTCATGCTATCGGAAGAAGCAATACTTTAAAGGTCCTGAAGGACGTAACTGGCCTCAAACCCGCTGACATTAGTCAGGAAGGTGAAGATATCCACTCCGGAGACTACCACCAGGACGACCATGCGGTCAACTTCAACACCGACTCCAGAACCGCCCATGACCCGGGCGACACAGAGGTAATTCCTTCTCCAGCTCCCAACACTCCTACCTTCACTATCTCAGCAGCCGCGCTAGCAGACGTGCTGTTTACAAACGATAACAGCACCACCAGCGCTCCTGAAATAGCTACAACCACCAATCAACGACACCTAAACCTACCTAAGGCTGCGAGGCGAAAGACAAAAACGCCCACTACGGAGGTTACGGACTCCTCAGACGAGGAAATCATAGTAGGAGCTCCACCGCCGCATCACAAATACGTCATCATGGAAGCCACGTCACCAAACTCTAACGACAGCACTGCTCAGCCAAAGTCACAGGCAAAGAAAAAACGGAAAACCTAGAGGTCTACACTAACCCCATAACTGGTATAGCCCTCCAGGCTGAAAACCATCATGAAGACCCCCATCCATCGCCACATCTCTAGTATCAGCCACTGATACAGATAATGGCTCCAAAAAGCCTCCACTTACGGGCTCACCATAGCCCGAGCTACTGGAACCTATCGTTCTGAGTAGCGAATCTTAAACAACAACAGCGCGCAGGTTGAGCGGTTAGACGCATCTTCACAGACCTACGTTTTCTTCCATCAGAAAACCCACCTCTTTGGAAAGCAGTGTTCTTATCTAGAAATTTACAGATTGATAAATGATGGGAAAGATACCTTACAGGTAATACCTTTGTCAGGAAGACGATGGTTGGCAAGGAGCGGTAGTGTAAAGCGGCTGTTAGATCAGTGGGATTCTTTAACAACTCCTTACCAAATCGCTTCTTGCTCTTATGATAAATATGTTGCAAGGCAACTATTTTAAATGTACTCTGATCGCCCAAAAAGCCATATTTCACATTTCTCAAACCAATCCTAAATAATTTTGAAAGGATGAATTTACTTTATCAAAAAGATGAAGTAGATCAGTGTAGCCTTCACACTGACGAAGTCAGTGTGAAGGCTACACAAATACAAGGCTACACAAATACCTGAAGTCTACACAAATACCTTCACACTGACGAAGTCAGTGTGAAGGTATTTGTGTTTCCCTGTTAGATAACACCAAGTCTAAAATATTAGAAATATTGAAATGTAAAAAAATTGCTATAATCCCTAAGTTTGGTGGACTGTATATAACTCCTATTATTAGATTTTTCGATTAGTTGTAGCCAAATAGTTTGTGAATCCCACTTTGCGACTACCTTTAAAATTTTCCATATGGCTACACCCCCCTTCTCGTCTAATATATCTATGTGTGAAATAGTTTAAGTACGTTTAATTGATACTCAGCTAATAGTTGTTTCCAGTATGCGCATTCGGGCTACAGGATCACTCCCTTGGGTAACCAGTTCTTTATAATACAGTTAAGAGAGATATATAAAGAGAGAAAGAGTATAAAAATTAGGGTACACCCAATTCAAAGTTGCAGTGAAAATCCAGTAATAAAAACACATATTGATCTAAACTTTTATTTTAGGTAATATTTTTATTGACACATCAGATGATCCTAAAACATTAAAACATTCTATGAACATCCACTTCATTGCACTTTCTGCTTCTTGTTGCTTCTAGAAAACTCATCAGATTCAATCTCAAACTTCACTAACATATTTTGTGGCATTGATTCCTCTTCATATTCTGCTTCTTGTTGCTCGCTGGGGCACCGATTAACTCTATCATCAGAGTGCACCTCTTCCTGCCTCTTCATATTTGTAAGTTGACTTTTCTCACACTCTTCACACTTGTGAGACGTAACACCTGTATCCACTTTTACACGTTTCTTCATATTTCCACGAAGACTGTAACTTTTGCCACAATCAGGACACTTATGAGGTTCATCGTTCATATGTTGTAACATGTGATGTTTCATATTGTAACGGTTTTTGAACTGTCTTACACACTCAGGACACTGGTGAAGCTTATCAGAGTGTACCAACAGGTGTTGTTTCAACGTTTCAGAGGACTTGAACCTTTTCTCACACTCAGGACACTTGTGAGGCCTATAATCTGAATGTTTTAAAAGATGTTTTCTCAAAGCCCCAGAGTAACAGAATTTTTTCGGACACTCAGGACACTCGTGAGGCCTATAATCTGAATGTTTTAAAAGATGTTGTTTCAAAGCCGCAGGGTAACTGAATTTTTTCGGACACTCAGGACATTCGTGAGGCCTATCATCTGAATGTATTAACAGGTGAATTTTCAAAGTTCTATGGTCCTTGAACCTCTTCTCACACTCAGAACACTCGTAAGGCCTATCATCTGAATGTACTAACAGGTGCTTTTTCAAAAATTTAGGGGCTTTGAACCTTTTCTCACACTCAGGACACTCGATAGGCCTATCTTCTGAATGTACTGACAGATGTTGTTTCAAAGTTGAAGTGTCCTTAAATTTTCTCCCACACTCAGGACACTCGTGAGGCCTATCATTAGAATGCACTAACAAGTGTCTTCTCAAATGGGTTAGATCTCCGAATTTTCTCGTACACTGAGGACACGAGAAGGGCTTATCATCACAATGAAATGCCAAGTGCACTCTCAAACCTTCACTGTTCTTGAATTTTTTCTCACACTTGGGACACTTGTTTGGATTATCATTAGAATGTATAAACATGTGCCATGTCATAGTGCTAAGGTCCTTGAATTTTCTTCGGCACTCGGGACACTTGTGGGGCTTATCACCAGTACGAATCATAACGTTAGTTGTCATCTCCAAGTTGACGTGAAAGCAATGTTCCCGTAAGTCCAGGAATTGTTAAATCTTGACCAAACTAGAAGATGAGATGACGAAGTTTTGATCCGTCTAGAACCGTTTTCAAGTCGATTGTCATAAGTGCGCAGAGGGGCAGGCATATATAAGGCAGGAGTGAGGTGAGGAGCAGATAAGAGAGGTGAAAGGGCAACAACAAAAAAAGGTGTGGGTTTGATGGGTGTAAGAAAGTAGAAAGTAAGAAAGATAGAAAAGAAAGTAAGTAAGAAAGACAAAAAAAGAGAGGGGGGTAAAATTACAAGAACAAAGGTAACTGCAGTTGTTGATTTGTGGAACCAATTACCGCGTAACGTGGTGGAGGTGGGGTCCCTCGATTGTTTCAAGCGCGGGTTGGACAAGTATATGAGTGGGATTGGGTGGTTATAGATAGGAGCTGCCTCGTATGGGCCAATAGGCCTTCTGCAGTTACCTTTGTTCTTGTGTTCTTATGTTCTTAACTGTTAGTAGATAGTGGTATGGGAATCGATTTGGAGGAAGGAGGTAATAAAAGTATGTGTTTGTGGGAGAAAAGAATTGGCAAAATGATCAGGAAAAGAGAAGGGCCTCAAAATAACAATTCACTTAGGGTATATTACACTAACAGTAGAAGTCTAAGAAATAAAATAAATGATTTAAATGCTCTTGTCTGCACAGAAAAAATAGATATTATTGCACTTACCGAAACGTGGATGAATGTAGAAAATAGAGAGCTATTAGCTGAATATCAAATAAATGGAGTTAAACTATTTCACACAGATAGATATAAGAACATAAGAACATAAGAACAAAGGCAACTGCAGAAGGCCTATTGGCCCATACGAGGCAGCTCCTATTCTATAACCACCCAATCCCACTCATATACTTGTCCAACCCGCGCTTGAAACATAAGAACATAAGAACAAAGGTAACTGGAGCGAGACATGAACCCAGCGATAGGTGACTTAAATGGGGATTTCGATGTGGATTCAATATATAACTTATTTAAGAATATTCTAAACAAAGCACAGGAACGTAGTATACCATACAAATTGAATAGATCGTATACTAATGACCCAAAGTGGATAACAAAGAATTTGAAGAACCTTATAGGTAAAAAGAGAGCTTGGTACAAAAGGATTAAAAATGGGGAGGTCACTTTAGAACAGGAATTCGTACAACTGGTTAGAAATGTTAAAAAAGAGATAAGGAAAGCAAAAAGAAACTATGAAGTTCGCATAGCAGGGCAAGCAAAGACAAATCCTAAAGGGTTTTTTCAGTTATATCGTACTAAGACTAGGGAAAGGATAGGTCCATTAAAAACTGAGACAGGTCAAATAACAGATAGTGATGAAGAGATGAGTAGTATTTTTAATAAATATTTTGTATCTGTATTTACTAAAGAGGAACTTAACAATATGCCTTCAGCCGAACAAGTCTATGTGGGTGGGGACGAGGACAGGTTGACGAGTTTAGCAGTTACCAGGGAGGATGTTCTTAAACAAATAGTAAAACTCAAACCAAACAAATCCCCAGGGCCGGATGAAGTGTTTGCTAGGGTGCTTAAAGAATGCAAAGAGGAGCTTTGTGACCCACTGTCAACCATATTTAATAAATCAATAGAGTCAGGCAGAGTGCCAGAGTTTTGGAAAGTTGCTAATGTGATACCAGTTTTTAAGAAAGGAGATAGATCACTTGCGTCTAACTATCGACCAATTAGCCTAACGTCTATTGTGGGAAAGTTACTCGAATCTATAATAGCAAATAAAATTCGTCTTCATCTTGAAAAACATAAATTAATAATTGAGTCGCAACATGGTTTTATAAATGGCCGTTCATGTTTAACAAATTTGTTATCTTTTTATTCTAGCATTGTTGAGGCAGTTGATAGTGGTAAGGATTGCGATGTTGTATACCTTGACTTTAGCAAAGCTTTTGATACAGTGCCACATGAAAGACTGATTAAAAAATAGTCTCATGGTATTGGGGGTGCTATATTAAGCTGGATTAGGGCATGGCTATACCAAAGGAAACAGAGAGTTAGTATAAATGGAATCAAGTCAGAGTGGGAAAATGTTGTAAGTGGAGTGCCTCAAGGCTCTGTCCTGGGACCTCTGTTGTTTATAATATATATAAATGATTTAGATTCAGGTTTGAGTAGCAACATTTGCAAATTTGCCGATGATACGAAAATCGGTAGGGAAATTAATTCGGAGGAGGACTCACTATCACTTCAAGTTGATCTAGATAGGGTTTTGAAATGGTCAAAGGATTGGCAGATGCAGTTTAATGCTGATAAATGTAAAGTTCTGAGGTTAGGTAATGATGATAGAGTTACAAGATACGAGCTAGATGGTGTTGTGATTGCGAAGTCGGATTGCGAAAGGGATCTGGGAGTTATGATTAGTAAGAATTTAAAACAAAAGGATCAATGCATAAATGTTCGTAATAAGGCAAATCGGACACTTGGATTTATTAATCGCAGCGTTAGTAACAAGACACCTGGTGTGGTTCTCAAGCTATATCTTGCTCTAGTTAGGCCCCATTTAGATTATGCAGTTCAGTTTTGGTCGCCATATTATAGAATGGATATAAATTCACTTGAACGTGTCCAGCGTAGGATGACTAAGTTAATTCCCCAAATTAGAAATCTTTCATATGAAGAAAGATTAACAAAGCTTAAGTTGCATTCACTGGAAAGGCGAAGAGTTAGGGGTGACATGATAGAGGTTTACAAGTGGATGAATGGACATAACCGGGGGGATATTAATAGGGTATTAAAAGTATCAACACAGGACAGAACACGAAACAATGGATATAAATTGGATAAGTTTAGATTTAGGAAAGACTTGGGTAAATACTGGTTCAGTAACAGGGTTGTTGATTTGTGGAACCAATTGCCGCGTAACATTGTGGAGGTGGGGTCCCTCGATTGTTTCAAGCACGGGTTGGACAAGTATATGAGTGGGATTGGGTGGTTATAGAATAGGAGCTGCCTCGTATGGGCCAATAGGCCTTCTGCAGTTACCTTTGTTCTTATGTTCTTATGTTCTTATTTGCTAAAGTCAAGGTATACAACATCGCAATCCTTACCACTATCAACTGCCTCAACAATGCTAGAATAAAAAGATAACAAATTTGTTAAACATGAACGGCCATTTATAAAACCATGTTGCGACTCAATTATTAATTTATGTTTTTCAAGATGAAGACGAATTTTATTTGCTATTATAGATTCGAGTAACTTTCCCACAATAGACGTTAGGCTAATTGGTCGATAGTTAGACGCAAGTGATCTATCTCCTTTCTTAAAAACTGGTATCACATTAGCAACTTTCCAAAACTCTGGCACTCTGCCTGACTCTATTGATTTATTAAATATGGTTGACAGTGGGTCACAAAGCTCCTCTTTGCATTCTTTAAGCACCCTAGCAAACACTTCATCCGGCCCTGGGGATTTGTTTGGTTTGAGTTTTACTATTTGTTTAAGAACATCCTCCCTGGTAACTGCTAAACTTGTCAACCTGTCCTCGTCCCCACCCACATAGACTTGTTCGGCTGAAGGCATATTGTTAAGTTCCTCTTTAGTAAATACAGATACAAAATATTTATTAAAAATACTACTCATCTCTTCATCACTATCTGTTATTTGACCTGTCTCAGTTTTTAATGGACCTATCCTTTCCCTAGTCTTAGTACGATATAACTGAAAAAACCCTTTAGGATTTGTCTTTGCTTGCCCTGCTATGCGAACTTCATAGTTCCTTTTTGCTTTCCTTATCTCTTTTTTAACATTTCTAACCAGTTGTACGAATTCCTGTTCTAAAGTGACCTCCCCATTTTTAATCCTTTTGTACCAAGCTCTCTTTTTACCTATAAGGTTCTTCAAATTCTTTGTTATCCACTTTGGGTCATTAGTATACGATCTATTCAATTTGTATGGTATACTACGTTCCTGTGCTTTGTTTAGAATATTCTTAAATAAGTTATATATTGAATCCACATCGAAATCCCCATTTAAGTCACCTAACGCTGGGTTCATGTCTCGCTCCAAGACCGGCCCACACCCCATACCCAAGCCTTTCCAATCAATTTGACCCAAAAAATTTCTTAGGCTATTAAAATCAGCTTTTCGAAAATCTGGCACT